ACATGCAAGTCCTTTTCCGGAGGAAAAACCCATGTACCTGTTACTGTCACAGTTAGAGGAAAAGGGGGACAAGGCAGTACGCTGGCCTGGACCTAGCTCTGTTTCTAGCCCATCTGAAGTAATAGCTTCTTGGTCTAGATAGTCTAGCAGTGGAGGGGACTTGCGGTCTTCTGAAAGCCCGTTGGACAGTTTGTTATGCCCTGACAGCGTCGGCCACCCATCTTTACCATTGCTACTGTTGGTTCTGTTACAAAGCAGGACAGAAATTAGCCTCCGCTGCACTGTGAGTAAATAATAAAAATACAACAAATCTAAATATTAATAAAAACCAACCTCTGTGTGGAGTTGGATTTACTCTTTGACTTTTCTGTTCCACAAGCTGGAGGTTGTAGAAAGCTAGGGTTAATTTTATAGAGGTCTTGGAGGAGTTTTTGCTCATACTCTTGATGTTTTCCTGCCTGAAGAAACAACACAACATGGGTCAAAAAGGTGCTTTAAACCACAACTGACTCTCATTGTGGGAAGAGGAAAAAAAAAAGTGTACCTGCATCTCCTCTTTAGTAAAGCTAGCTGCTTCATCCCCCAACTCATGTAGGTACATACAATCAGGTTTGGGACACTGCATACTTTTGAGGAAGTAACTGCAGTATTTTGTTGTGCCTAAAGAAGCCTGCAAAAGAAAGAAATAGAAGAAGAAGAAAAGTTTACATAGAAATTCATACTAATTCTTTTCAAAGAATTCTTTATCTTCTCTGTGTAATCTACATTGTTTACAATGATGTTTGTGTTAAATAGCTAGAAGCAGAAAAGAAAATGAAGAATAAAATGACTAATTTTTGTGCACTTTAAAAGACTACTAAAATCACTAAAAATTAACAAAGATTTTTGGGTCAACTTCTCACCTTGAGTGTTCTGCCATCAACAACCACATTGTTCACACACTGTATTGCTCTTAGAGCATCTTCAGAGCGGATGTAAGTAACATAAGCGCTGGCACTAGGCCCCTAAAAAACAAAACAGGTAAATAAACATGCCATTGATGCGGTTGCATACTTTTATGAGCTCACTGTAGCTATGAAAGAAGATTTTCATTATTAAATTGCCGTTTTAACCTAATCCACCCTCCTCACCTGTGAACCTGCGTAAGATGTGCTATTGTTGATGACCACTTTATGGATTTTCCCAAACCTCCCAAAATACTCCGGCCGTTTTAGGACCTGTGGGTAAAACACAGCAACACTTGTGACAAAGTGCTGGAGATACTGAGCTCTTTCAAACTGAATATTCAACAGAATCACGAATCACGAGGAAGCTGCAGGTAAAAACATTTAAATATACATAAAGATCATTCTCCAACAAAGTACATTTAAACTTCACTGCATCTGTCAAGCCCAAATCTACAGTGACACAGCCACTTCCTTAGCTGCATCAAACTGAATACCATAAGTTTCAACGCTCCTGTCACAGGTAGCTGAAGTGTAATGTCAGCATTACACTCACCTCTGGGTCAGCGAGTCGCTGCGAGAGCCCCACCACAAACACCAGATTTCTCTGGACCACTCTGACACTGGCCAGATGCTTGCGGTTTTCTGTCACCTTTTGCTTCTTCTCATTCTGTTTCTGCTTCTTTTCATTCTTTATCCTTTGGATCTCCTCCTGTGACAGAGGCTTGTACACAGCAGGGTCCTCTGGATAAGGCTACACAAAAACACAAAGAACTGCGTTACAAACAGAAATATCTCCCATTCAAAGGAAAAAAAATTACTAATTTAAGGCATGGTTACACACAAGCTACACCTGTGTAATTCTAATTACATGATGTCTCCTCCAACAAGACTGCTGAGCCAGACAAATCATCCTCCTGTTTAATGAGCTTAATGGCATCTACATCCATTTCACCTTTCTGCATGCGGGGCAGAGGCCGTTCTCATCTGTACGGATGCGGTGCCAACAGAAGCGGCAGATCTGGTAGCCACAGGTGCAGGGGAAGAAGTTGACGTCATCAATCTCCAGCGGCTCCATGCACAGTGGGCACTCCATGGGGTCGTCCTTCATTTCAGGGCTGTGGGACATCCTATGGCGCAGCAAGGCTGAGTACTGAAGCGGATCACAGAGCACAGGGCTACCAAAACATAAATGAAGAGTATAAGAGCTCCACTCAGAACTGACTAAATATAGCAAGCAATATATTTACAATTTATTTAGAATGACTGAACTTGTTGTCAGTGCAGATGCTTAACAGCAGAAAGGTATAGCCGTTTCGATTGAACTTCCAACGTGACAATATATCAGTGAACACGCCAAAATACTTTTAATTGCATTTTTAAATGCAATTTTTTGAATGCCAAAACAGTTACTTAAGATCACCCAGCATTTTAAAACAAAGTTTTTTAATCAAATGACAGCACAAAGTACAGAAGCACCACTATAATAGCTAAACATCAGTATCAGCCTTGTTGATTACCTGGAGATTTTTAAAACAATCTGGTCAAGATTTTTTGCTTCTTTTGTAAAAAAAAAAAAACAAAAAAGGGGGGGAGGTATAAATGAAAACAACAACACACCCACCCCTATCGGCATCAGCTATAGGCCAAACTGTTATTTCAAACATTGTATCAGCTCAGGATTTCAGTGCTTCCCGAGTAATACAGCTGAAAATCATTGTGCTACACACAAAGCTGTAATATTTAAATGATACATCAAAGATTAAGAAAAAGGTGTCAACAATTGACACATTTGTGTCTCAATACTATTTCAAACGGTCCTAAATTAATATATCCGACCGTTTTCGTTAGTCCTCAATAACAGTTAAATATATCTGAGTGTGCTACATCGCGCAAAGAGAAACACTCATCGGTAACACCTCTACAGATGACCACGAAAAGGCTTGAATAATAACGGGTCATTCTGGCCTCCACAGATGGAAGATTTGTTGCATTCTGTTGAGGTCTTTTCATTGGGCGGCACTGGTTTTTCTAGCTAGGTCTAAAATAAGCCAAATGGGTGTACGTACCAACCCAATCCTTAAAAAAAACAGAACTAATGGTCGCAAAGTGATAATGCGGATGTTGTGGTATCTTTCTTGGGCTGACACGTCATGGTCGACGTTAAAGACAAATACAATAAAATAGGTTTATTTAGGAATGAATCGCCTGTTGTTGGCATTTAAACACCAGCCTGTTTTCTACGTGACAACACCGCTGCCAGCAGACGAGCCCATCGAGAGCTCGATAAAAACCTAAAAGACTATAGACATCCAATGCCGGGCAGCATTTTCGCAAATAACCCTACAAGTACACAGCTATCGCCGTTTTGCATTTTCACTCGCAGACATCCCCACTAAAGTCGTGAACAAATCGTGTTGGCCAAGCTGGTAACTTTAGCTGCTTAGTCTCCTGGATCGTACGTTATGACAGATGTTATTTGACTAACCACGGGCTAAGCTAACATTAGCCGCGAACTGGCAAAAGACGCCGGTCTGATTGAGACCAAGTATTCCGTGACAACTGCGATGTTAATCACAAATGTAATGCATGTGGACATGAGACGTTCCCCAATATTGACGTTCGTAGTTTAAAAAAAACGTATGACATAACGTTATGGTGCCCCCCTATATAAAAAGTGACAGCTTGCTTAAGCTAACCCGTAGTTAGCAGGCTACATTATCAGAGTGTACGAGGGTTTGGAGTTGAGCTGACGACGAGGCCTTACATAAGCTAACACTGAACAGGGAACAAGTTGTTGGCACTATAAACAACTGTCATTGCTCAAACGACATTAAGATTAGCTGGGCAGAAATTCATGAAGAGTGAGAAAACTTTACAGTCAGTCAGTAAAATCGCAACAGACATAATTGCCCTTCATTTATTGAGGCAGAATGGAAGCTGGCTAGCTCAGCTAGCAGCTTGGTTAGCGTTACTTACCCTGTCCGTATTTAGCTTAGGATTCCTCTCCAAGGGAGTCACACTAAATTGGGCGGGGACTGCGAGCCAATGTATCTGAAATGTCAAAATATCTATAGAGGGTTACGTAAGATACCAGTAGTTGTGTTGTTCTGTTGTAATTAAAAGGCTATAAAGATGTTTTGCCCCTTTCTTTTCTTGGTATTGTGGAGACAATTTACGCTCAAACCACCATCTTAGCTAGCATTATAGTTGGGAGGAGGGAGTGGGGCAAGTATTCAGTGCCACTGAGTCTGCGCAGATGGGCTGATGCTTTCAGGGAGATGTAGTTTTTACATTTTCCCATCGTTCCATTACGTTCAAGAGGAATGTAGTTCCCACTGCAACGCACTTACGAAGAAATTTTGTTCGCCATTATTTTCTAAATTCTAAATTCATTACTATGTTAGTTATATTCAACTTTTTACATATCATTCCTTTGCACTACACTTAGATTTTGTGTTATTTTTCGCCATTATTTTATTTTCTACACTATTTTATCTTTAGCTCCTAATGTGTACTTTCTATCTTATCTATCTATCTATCTATCTATCTATCTATCTATCTATCTATCTATCTATCTATCTATCTATCTATCTATCTCATCATATCTATCTATCATCTATCTATCTATCTATCTCTATCTATTTGCATCTAGCATCACATTGACATCTTCACATCTGTCGTTGTGCAATGTTTGTTTCACTCCTACAATGTCATTAAAGATTCTGATTCTGATTATTTAAGCTTTTTTTTTTTAACAGATTTTATTCAATATATAGTTGCGGTGACACAAAAATATAAAGGAATATCTTACCCATCCAATATTATAGAATCTTGTTTTTATATGTTATTGTGTAAGCATAATTAAAACATAAATAGAAAATATTTATACAAAAGCACTGGTTCATAATAACTTGCTTTCCGTCTGTCCTTAATGTAATGTTTTTATAGATTCTTTTGTATTTAGTGCCTTTCACAAAATCATCATAGTAATTATTCAACTGCAAGCCACTGACTGTCTCATTCTTTAGAAATCAAAGCACCAGAATGCCCTTGAATTCATAATTTTTTATAATCTGTTTATTGAACTTGGTTATCATATGGCTGTATAAAATTAACAAAGCTGCTTGACATATTTTGCAAGATACAATTATTACAGAACATTAATAATCAAGGAAAATTAGAATTTAATAATTTTTCTTTTGTTCTTTATAGTTTCCTCGGTCACAATACACACAGTTTCCATAAGAATATTACAAAGCTAACACAATTTTTTTTATTTTTTTTTAATCAATCCACACAAGGCTTGGTTTGGGCCAGGTCTGAGTGTGGACTTTGTTGGGGTTTACAGCATCTAAAGTGAGCATTGGAGCGATGGGGTGCGGGGATGCCAGAGATGTCCTTGCAGCCAAGAGTCCCATCCGAACACAGCTGTCTGTGTCTTTCCCCAGGACAATCCCTGCCATTAAGGCACCTGCAAGACTGGAAACAAAGGGGAGATGAGAGTCTTTTGTTTGAGTGTTTCACCATCATTTTGTGACTCAGTGAAAGAATGCCAGTGAGATGGGGAGAGAAAGAGGTCATAGAAATTGAAAAGTGGATAAAACTGCAGCAGAAGAAACAAAGGAAATGAAAGTCAAATAAGAACAAGATGGATGAAGTAGGTCAAGCAAATTTTTAGCACCTATCTCCAGCTCCCGACACATTCATTATCTCCTCTGGGGTCACAGCAAGTGCTGGGTAGTGGAGACCACAAAGCTGCCTCTTCTGCAAACAGAAGCAGGAAAAAAGCCATTTTTACCACTACTGTCAGAGCAAATCGTTACAGGCTGGCATGAAGACCATCCTTACCCTCTTCTGTTTTCTTGGCTGCAAGTTGACTGTGCCTTCATCATACTCTCCACACAGCAACACGCCATTAGCCCCTAGAGTCACCACCAGGCAGTGAAGATGTTCCAGAAGAGGGCGCGAGAGAGCCACAGCAACACTGAGCGTCTCGTCGAGTGTGCTCGGCAGCACTGCCGCAATACAAAACCACATCCTCAGCTTCCGTCAGAGTATTTGCATTTTTGACAAGAGCTCTAACATCAATAGCAGAGGGTGTGAATTTGTTTTTTGATGGCTTTCGCTGATAAAAGAGGAGTAACATAGTTTACCTTCAGGTGTTTTGACACCCAGTGTTTTATTCATGGTGCACAGCTCTGCCAGGTTCGGAGATGAATAGGACAAAGACTTCCAGGCATTTGAAAGGAAAGGCTTACAAGCCTTTTCTGAGTCGGTCGGTTCATACCAAACTGCGATACACATGGAAATCTTAGTGTTACAATCAATAAAAGCACATTTTTGAGATTTTTTAGAATCATGTCTTTCCATTGGTTACCATTTATGTTGCGCTTTTCAGCAAAACAACAAACATAGTTGATGGTTGAGGTGGGAATGTTACCATCCAGACACACGAGTGTGGCTGATGAAAGTTGCGTCTTGAATTGTGACACCTACAAAAAATTATTCAGTGACAGAATATTGAAATGGTAAGTACAGCGTATTTAGCATTTTGTAAAACCAGAGGTTCTTCACAGGGGCTCAGGGAAAACAATGGCAAAATGTAAATCAATCATTTCATAAATTTAATAAATCAGTCAGCAAATTGAGAAAATATAACTGTCCAAAACTGTACAAAACCCAAATACACCAACCAAGCATTTTATTAGGTACATCTTGCTACGGGGTTGGGCCCATCTGCCCTCAGAACTGCCTTAATTCGTAAATTCAACAGCTGATGAGAAGCTTTTGCTTCTCCACATCACAAAGGTGCTCTATTGGACTGAGAACTGGTGACTGTGGAGGTCATTTGAGTAGAGTGAATTCACTGTCATGTTCAAGAAACCAGTTTGAGATCATTTGAGCTTTGTGACACGGCGTGGCGACCTGCTGGAAGAAGCTGAGAAAATATCTTAGCAGCCTGAGCCACTGATACAAGGCATGATCATTCAGTAGTTTGATGTTGCTTATTTCAAATGCTGGCCCCAAATCACCACCAGAAATCAAGACTTATCAGACCAAGCAATGTTTTTCCAATCTCCTGCTGTCCAATTTAAGTGAGCCTGTGCAAACGTTAGCTTCAGTTTCCTGTTCTTAGCTGATAGGACTGAAGCCTGGTGTGGTCATCTGCTGCTCCATACTATTCAGAGATGCTCTTCTGCATACATTGGCTGTAACCACTGATTATTTGTGTTACTATAGCCTTTGTGACCCACACAAATATGTGGTCAAAATTGTGAATCAAGTCTTGTTAAATATGTAGGCAATCATGGATGCTTCACTTTGTTTACTGGTATGATAAGGTTTAGAAGTCCTCCAAGTTTTGTATTGCAAATGCATGCATATCACTTTGGACAGTAGATGGCAGTAGAGTACCTTAGGACTGAGTTGTGCACATAATTCTGGCAAGACTGACCAGGCCAACTGCAGCGTGTTTCCTCTGCACTATTTCTCCTGTTTTACAGGGCAGTAATGTGCTCAGCCAAGTATACAGTTCCTGTATATACAGTTCCCGTATACTTGGGTAACTTTGCCTCTGTTGCAAGTGTTTTTGTGTACCATGTCTGTAAAACGTTCTTAGTTGGGTAGGTCATCTTAAAATTTATGTTTTAATCATGTCAGAAGCTAGCTTGTCTGAAAACATACAAAGCCAGAAAGCTATGAGTACTGCCACCACAAATGTTAGCAAGTACATAAGAAATGAATGTGGAGTTCTTTCATAATAAGACACAAACACAGTGCAGTTCTGTTTTTTCTTAATAAATGTCCTTACCTTAGATCCTTTATCATATGTAATTTTTTAAAAAATTTGTGTACTGTGGTCTCTCGTTTATCGCGGGAGTTACGTTCTAAAAATAACGGCAATAGGTGAAATTTGTTTTGCCTAATGCGCCTTATAATCCGGTGTGCCTTATACTTCTACCTTACTTTAGCATGTCCAGAAGTCCAACTTTTTGTGCGGTACCATCTTCCTCTGCCTTTTGGGTGCTACCACAGGTGCCTTTGGCAATGCAAACGTTTCGTCGACATTGTTGTGTTTGTTGGGGAGAAATCTTACAAACATACAGTACAGCACTTCAGAGTCACACTGCTAGCGATTGAAGATTTATGTAAATTTGACAAGCTCATCGCATTCTGTACTGTACAGGAGACACGGCACCAAGGAGACTGACAATGGCCTACATATATCTATATCTATATATATATATAAAGCATGCAAAACAGCGAGGCTGCAAAAGGTGAACCGCGTTATAGCGACGGACCACTGTACATAAAACTGGTGTCAAAATTTGTGTTTGAATATGCTTCACAATATTGTAATAGAAACAAAAGACAGCGCAATGGCACTCAAAGTCATCTATAAGAAAATGTATTTGGATTATTAACCTTTTGACTCTTGAGATTAAAAATGTCTTTTGCAAGAGTGTCCTAATCTGACACCACACAGCAAGAAGAGTTTGGGTGTGAATCTCCTGACTTGCTCAACCCTTCTTTGGGGGATTTCCATGTTCCCCTTGACCCTGTGTGGGCTCACTCTGGTTACTCTGGCTACCGCTCACAGTTAAGTTAATTGGAGGCTCTAAATAGTCAATGTATGTGAGGTAGATAAAATGCATAGTGTTGTGCTAATTTGTGCGTTCAAAAAAGAAGTATAACGTGTGTGGAAAAAAGCTTTTTAAAGTGTCTTTCAGGGGCAAAATCTTCATCTGTTTAAAGTAGATCTATCACATTTGACTGAGGATTCTATATGTGCAGTTTTCATCCCTTTGTGCTTTATGTCTCTTAGCATGAACAGTGTCTGATGTCACTTACATAGTGCTCTGTGATTTGCTGATGAATATCCATGTCTCCCAAACCGAGACTCAGCTCTCCACTCTCAGTGATGACAGCACAGTAGGTTGCAGTGCTGTGCTCTTTGAGCCTGGCCACACCACTTGTGTTCTTACAAAAAGTTGAAAAGGAAAAAACAAATATATTATTTTCATCTTTAAATAAGATTTTAGCCGTGCATGGTATTGACTAAACACCATTGTTCACATACCATATGTTTGCAGTAGTTTAACACTGCATCACTGTTTGAATCAGCTCCAGTAGCTGAAATGAACAGGGTTTCTTGGCCTAATCTGCTTAGAGAGTCTTTAAGGAAACATTCAGAGAAATTACTCACGAAACTATGTTCATGATGTAAAATATAATCAGATAAAAAAAACAACCAACCAGCGATGTTTCTTCCTACACCACCAAATGATTGACAGACACTTCCTGGGTTAGTTTGTCCAAACTGAAAGAGATAACGGGAGTTCTCAGAAGTCAGTCTGGTTCACCTCCTCTGCACTATTGTGGCTGATTCCATGTCGTAAATGAAGCTTACTTTAAGTGCTTTTGTTTTTCCCTTGGCGATAAAATCAACATTTATTCCTCCTATCACAACCTGCAACAGAATAGTCATTGCATGCAGTGTTATGTATGACTGTTTGATTTTCACTATTTTAGAATTTGAAAAAAATATGTGTTTATACTCACAATATTGGAATCTGAATTGGATGGAAATTTTGACGCTTTTGGAGAAGTTTGACGTTTTAATCCTCTGTCATTCATCTGCTTTGACAGAGCACAGGCTATTTGACTGCCAACTTTTGCGTTGTTATGAATGAGAGCAATGTCTTGAAACAGAACACGTTAAGGACACATTAGTTCTCATACACTGTAGGCCAAAAATCTCCAACAGTAACATTGTCATGCCAGTCAATCATCTTCGTACTCTCTCTCTTTTTTCACCAAAGTGTTTGATACAATCATGCTTACTGCATAATTTTTTGATGAGCCAGACTTTTGAAAGGATACTGGCCTGAAGGGACTTCCCTTGAGTCAGGGCACTGACTTTTTGAAGAATGAATGGCGTCACATCTTTTCCCATGACACCTTCAGCCCTTGAGATTTCAAAGCGAGAATAGAAAATGATGCTAATACTGATATCAGTGATATTAATCAGTGACTTTAGGATACGTGGGGCATCAGGTATCGTAAAGTGGCCACATTTCAAATCCAAAGTTGGCTCCTGAGAGAAAATCGAAAACAGATTTTCCGTACCTTGCCTCTGCCACTGCAACTTTTATAGCATCTTCAATCTGCTGTCCAGATGCTGCGTGCTCCTCTGGGATGGGCACAGCTAACAGGACGCCACTTTGGAGTCCCAGGGACAAAGAGCTTGCTGAGTGACCAAACAAAACCGCAAAACAATAAAATAAATATCATACAAAAAATAGCAACCCAAAGTTGCTGTACAGTGAGTGTCTAACATTCTATTTGCTAAAATGTGAGGTAAAATGAGATAGTACTGAATTTTAACCTGTGAGTGCTCTATCAGTGTTTATTATGGCATAAAATTGTGATATACCAATAAGTTTTGCAGCCTCCACAGGGTTGGAGACGTGGCATGCAGACCTGAATCCACTTTGTGGAGAGAAGAAAGCTGGAAAGTTCTTTGACTGTCCATAAGTGGCTACACAGACACCCTGTGTCTCCTAGACAATCGATTGTATATAAATTTTAGATGAATTCATACAGGTTAAGGATTATAATACACTGATTACTAATACATATTTGCTCTTCATACTGAAATATGCACGACTTTATTAAGCCTGTCACACTAGAATGGGGGGTGTAAAAATTTCTTACAAGGAACTCCAGTGTGCGACCGATGTCCAGAATGGACTTGACCCCAGCAGAGACGACAGCGATGGGAGTCCTACCAAGTTCTGTGAGATCCGCACTGATATCCAGACCTGGGAGATTATTAATCTAATCAGAGAAACTATTTTAAGTTTTTACCTAAATACAGTTAAAGAGACTTTTGAAGTTATCTAACTCCTTCATGTTTACATAAAATCTCAGGACAGTAAGCGACCTTACTGTTGGGACATCCTTCCACATTGAGACCTTAAACAACTGTAACCAGATGTGTCTTTTCTTTACCAACCGTGTGCACAGCACCATCTTTGTTCCTTCCTTTGTGGCAAAATTAACAGAAATGTAAAATTTGCCCACCTGACAACATATTTTGTTTACTCCAAGCACAGCTCTTTGTGAAATGATATGAAAATGTGTAAAAGGTATTTTCAAAAAATGTGGGACTCAGCTCACTGTTCTCTCCATCTCTGTGAACTCCTCCAATACCCCCAGTGACAAAAACAGGAATCCCAGCTCTGTGTGCTGCTATCATAGTGGCTGACACCGTTGTTCCTCCAGAGAGTCCCTGAGAAAAGAACATACATCTAATAAGTGGATGACACTCTGCCAGTATTTCATTTAGAGTGTGATCAAAGTGTCAAAGACTCACTTTGCTAATGACGTAGGACAGATCACGCCGTGACACTTTCTGGGAGATCTTGCTCTGGGCGAGGTGGTCAAGCTCCTCGGACGACAGTCCAACATGGACTTCCCCACTGATGACGCCAACCGTGGCGGGAGTGGCTCCTTCAGCTCGTACAATAGCCTCTACCTCCTTGGCTGTCCTGTATAACACTCCAACTCATCATTTAATCTTAAAACAAATATTACCTTCTGGTACCCAAGTTTGTTGGTAATTGAAGGTCATTTTTGGCACCTCAGGTTATGTGGGTAAGGCATGCCATGTGTGATAATTGTGCTTTCAAGGGCAACCACGGGTTTGTTTTCTGCCATTGCCTGTGACACAGATGGGTGAATTCTGAGGAGGCAATCTAAAGAAGAAGTAATCATCATCATTTCCATAAACTGGTTATAAACTGTGTTAATATTATAGCTTTTAATATCAGTGATACAGTGCATTTACCCTTTTTGAGCATTGTCCTCTGGCATGTTGTTATTTCTCTTCTTAGTACAAGAGCAGAGACTTGCCTCAGTATCCTCATTTTGTTTGGGTCAACCCTGAGAGCATGAATGATTTTAGTGTCAATAAAGTTGAATCAGGTGATCTTCTTCTTCTGATCAACTTATGTGAATCAAGATGGCAGGTGCTTTTTAGTTAGATAGTTAAAATAACTAAAAAGCATATCATGCCGATCAGTATCACCCTTTACATCGCCCTGCACTTGGAGAAATCCATCTCATATTGCTCTTTCTGGACTTCAGTTAAGTCTTTAACACCATTT